GACAGAAGGTGAAGTGAAACTATGCCAAGGAGCCAGTCCAATTTTCAGAAAGCACCTGGAGCTTCTATAAACATTGATAGCCTACGAGCCACCAGTCCTTTTCAGACTTTCAGAGGGTGATCATCTCTTACTGATCTAAAACAAAGAAAACAGAAGTGAAAAATAGCTCAACTCACCTGGGTCTTGCTGTCACCTGCATGGTGATTATCATGATTACACTAATGGCTTACCTGCCTTGAAAAGGGGTACACAGGCGGTTGATGCTGCTTTTATCTCCAAAGCACAGTGCTGGGAGGAGCTGGGAGAACACCGGTATTTGGCATCAGGAAAGTGACCTTGGCCAAGCCCCTCTTGGACAGTTTGGGCGGTGTGAGCGAGGCAGGGGCTTTGTGGGGCAGTGGTGCGAGCACAGGGCTGTGTCCCGCTGGCGCATCAAACTGCCCGGCAGCACTGAGGGGTAAAGCAGCTTGAGGGCTGCTCCAGGCAAGCAAAACCACTTTTCTTGGAGAGAAAAAAAAAAGAAAAAGGCTCCTTCAGGCTACTTTTGCGCCCTGCATTCGGGGCATGTAATTGTCCGTTGCAGCCACAGAGCGGGGCCCTTGCCTTGGGAGCCTTTGGAGGGCAGGGGATGCGGAGAGGTCCCTGAGCCGGGAGCAGCAGCCGGGCTGGAACTCACCGGGTCTCCTTGGACAGCCGGAGCAGATGCAGCACAAACAGGACTAGTAAGAAGAATGGGAGGTACATGGAGCTCGTAAATAATCTTCCCACGGAGGTGTCCTTGCTAGGGCTCTCACCAAAAAATAAAAAACGCTGAAGGGAAAAAGGTCAAGTACAGTGGGACATGATGTTCCTTGGAGATTCAGCCTTGCTGGAGTACCATGGAGTCAGACAGCAAGGAGAAGGCAAATCAGCTGCACAGAAGAGGAGTAACACTTGCTCCCAGGGTAAAAGACTTTTGCTGGAAATCCAGACAAGAATTTCAGCTTACAGAGACAAACCATTCAGGTGAGCTGGCAGAGAAGGGCTGAACACCGAAAATAACTTCAGTGGAATAAGCTCTCCACGGAGCTGAAGAGTTTCTAAGTGAAAAGCATGACAGTGTTTCAGGATGGGAATAATGGGGTAATCTTCAGGGCAGGTAAATATAATGGGTTAACTTGACAGTAGGGCTAAGGTGACAAACAGTGCAAGGGAGTCTCGGATGTAGAGGCTGCTACATATTTCAGCAGGTACTCTGATTATATATGCTTGAATGGACCGTATTTGGTAAACTAAAGCAAAATAATTTTTCTGCATTTTCCAGAAACTCCTTCAGTTCTTTTCTCATCCTTGTTTTATTTATATTCTTTTTCTATAGATTTAGAGGTATATTTTGCAACTACCTGATGCCGTGCAGTCTTGGAGTCATATCATAACCAAGTTAATGGCAGTGTTTGAGTTAGAGGGCTCAGTAACAACTGAAAACAGCTCAAGGAAAAAGCTGACTGTGAAATGTGAACCCACACCACAAAAAGGCAGTGGAGAAGCTGGAAAAGTATTTGGCTGCAGGGAGGAGGGGGAGCTGAGCAGCTCTTCAGCAACAAATTGTTGAACTAATTACCTCCCAGTAAAGATACTGCTTACTCAGCTCCAGGGATGAGAAAACACATCAGGAGGAGGCAGCAAGCCAGAAGCCTCTGAGTTTTTGCACTGACATGAAGGGGGCTGCCTGAGGATTGTTTGATCCAGTCCTCTTGCCCAAAGCAGGGTCAGCTGCAAGCAGGTCAACACACCAAAGCACCACAGCCTCTCTGGACAATCTGTGCCAGTGTTTGACTACCCCCTCAGTAATCTATTTTCTTGTGGAATTTCATGTGTTTCAGTTTGGCCTCTTGTCCTGTTGTGGGCACCACTGGGAAGGCCCCAGCTCCCTCTTCTTCCTTCTTTCCATAAGGTATTTATATACACTGATGAGATCATTCCGAGCCTTCTATAAACTAAACAGTCCCAGCTCTCTCAGCCTCTCATCATACGAGAGATGCTCCAACCCCTTAATCATCTCAGCAGCTCTGAGCTGGGCTCAGTGCAGTATCTCCACATCTCTCTCTCTTCTACTGGGAACGCAGAACTGGACACAGCAAAAAATATCCCTGTAACTCTAGTTGGAATAGAGTAGGAGAATATCTGCAGCTGGAAGATATCTACAGTGATCATCGAGTATAACTGTCTGACCACTCTGGGGCTGACCAAAATCTAAAGCATATTGATAACAGCATTGTCCAAGTGCTTTTTAAACACTGACAGGTTTGGGATATCCACCACCTCCCTAGGAAGCCTGTTCCAGTGTTCTCAGGTTAACTTAGTCTCAGATTCTCATGTGGATTTCTTTTCTTCTTCCTCTTTTCTTTTTTTCTTGAAGAACTGGTGCTTAACAATCCCCAAGAACGACATTGTGCTTTTTGCCTGTGGCTTCTCCTGATGCTATTTTGTTGGAACCTACTTGTTTCTATTCAAATCTGTCCTGAAGAGATGCAACTCAGCTGAAATTGTGATGACTATACAGTCTTGTATGTCACTGCAATGTGGACAAAAAATTAATACCATCTAGTAAACTACAAAGCAAAATCAAATGTGTGGTTTCAGTTATCTTTGCTATTTTCTGCAGTTGGAAAGATGCTTTCTGTTCTGGTGAAGTTTGACAACAGCTCACTGAACACAGCCGATGGGGTTTCAACAGTTTATATTTTAATATGAAATGTCTCTATATCTGCAAGTATAAGCACACTGCTGGGAACAAATGCCCATCTTAACCTGTGGTCTCATCTCCGGTTTTGATTAAATTCCTCCATTTGCAGCAAAGGAAGCAACAAATTTACAGCTTTGTCAGTAAGGGAAGATAGTCAAACAGTTGCTCTGTCTTGATTTACAGCTTGTTTATTTCTATCTGCCAGTGAACATACAAATACATTCTGTAACAGGTTTGGGATTTCAATGAGCTTTCAGAAGAGAAGTAATGTTTTCTGATCCCTTTTAAACAACTACCTCTTTTTTCAAGGCCAGTTGTCAAATACAGTGAAAAGTGACATACAAGAAACTTTTGTCTAGATGAGTAGAATATTCCAAGCTGTAAATATATCCATCAAATCAGTTTGGCTCAGGGAATCTGCAGGTTTACATTCTTTATTAGTCAGCAAGTTCTTTGGCCTCTGTAAGGAACTAATCACCACCATAAGTCATTACCACTTACCATACTGCATGTCTACTTTTAAAATCTGAAAACACCAACTCCAGCATCATCTGTATTGTTTGGCAACAACAGCTGCATTTCTAATGATTATATTTACACCAGACTTTCCAAATTTGTATTTTAAAGCCTGTGTAGTCAATGGCATAGGCTGTCTTGTTTACAAATGCATGGACAGCTTGGCAAGAGGTATAAATGTGTTTGGGAAGTGTTCCCTAACCCTTTGGCCTGCTGGGCAGTGGTGCCATGAGAGGGGAGGGCAGCTGCTCCCGCTGAGATAACCCCATCTCCCAGAGTTACACCTGTGTTATGTCAGTGACAATGCCATACCTTTCTTAGGTCTCTCCAGTGACTTGGATCCAGCCATGAGAACAAAATTTGCATGGGCTTGCTCACACACTGCAGTAAGGACAACAAGGCATTGCACCAGTCTGGGGTTGCAGTTCTAGTCACACTTGGCACTTCAAATCATAAATTTGAATGTTTGGCTTGATTTAAAGCCCAGCTGACCACAGGATCCAGTTCACAAAGCTGCTCATTATTTTACTGCAGAAATGGAGTGACATGTTACACTTTGAGCAGGGGAAATGATAATCCAGAAAATGACATGACAAAGAGGAGTGAGATAGTGAATCCATTTCTCTTCCCCTCTCGCTGGCCTTCCCTTATTCTGATGGGGAAAGTGACCGAGCCACTGCCATTTGTCCTGCCCATCCCTTCCTACCCTCTGCAGGTGCACCTTGCATTTCCTGCAGATTAGAGCTCGGATCTTCCTGGCCATTGTGCAGATCCCTGTGTGCCCCCCTCCACACACTGCACATTTCTGAAATCCCAGGACAAAGGCTGGCCCAGAAAGTCCTCATCAGTACAAGCAATTTCTGTCCCTGCTGGCCCTGCTCACGTGAGTACAAACATCATATCCTTAAAGGACAGTTTAGGAGCTCCTCACTTGGTACCTGTATTTGGTAAATGCAGGTCTTTTACAAGAAACCCTTACTTTGCCCTGTTATCTAGTAAGAATAAGCTGTAGTATTGGTGAAGAATGAAAAGGAGATGTGTGGTATTTATGATTCAGCAGCAAAAGCTGCCCCCTGGAGGAACATGTTATTAGGCAAATAAGATAATGAGATGCAACAAGGTCCAAAAATACCTCCACACATTCAACCGTGAGCATTGTTATTGTAGTCGCTTTACTAAGTTAACCAAAGAGACTCAAAAACTGAAATACAGACTTTATACAGAATGAGTTGGGAGTACAAATAAACAAAAACAACATTCTTCAAGAATTAGTTGTGTTTTATAAACATCAATAGACACTGAAAATTATGTGAAAACTAAAAAAAGGGAAACAATATCAACAACTTTAAATTGTCCCAGTATTTATCATTTAAGCAGTTTTTTTGTACTTTTGCAATAGGGATTTCATCCAGAAGTCCTTATATAATTAAAAAAGGAAAAGAAAAACAGTCAGCATATTGCTGACACAAGACCAGGGAAGGGGTCACAATTAAAGCAGAAAAATAACACATCCAGTTAGAAGTGTATTACTATTTGGCAGGAACACTCTTTAATGAACACCGTCTATGCATGAGAAAGAGACAGCATCACTATTACAGGCAAGAAATGATGATCAGGTATCATTCATTATCCATTGTCCAAAATTAAAATTAGTTAAAGAAGAAATGAAAACTAGAAAAGGAGAGGGGAAAAAAAATAAGGAAACTTTTAAAAACACTTGATAATAGTCTCTTGATATTGAAATATCAATAGACTCTTGATAATGGTCTTCTAAGGCAAATGTTACATGCACTACCTCCCCAAGAAACCAGACAAAGCTCTTCCATTCCCCATGTGTTTCCTTTCATTTGTTTTCATGAAGAAAGGTTTGAGAGAGCAGAGCGCTGGGAAGAAATACTGCAAACCTCTAAATTAGTGAACGAACTTCCAGCATCACTGTTGTACTCAGGGTAGGAGGAACTGGAAGAAATGATGTTTTTCAGCCTCTGGAGTGCAATGATCAGTAGCAAAAGGAGAAAAGCTAAGAGACTAAGGAATATAGAAACATAGACATAGACATTGGATAAACGGCCAGGCGATGAATCCACTGAAGTTGAAAGGGATGTGGGATACAGCTCCAGAAAAGTCCCATTTTCCATGTTTCCCACAAATCCAGACGAAGGGTCGGGTTCTGACATTACTGGGTTTGTGTTTTAAAAATCACAACTGATCTTGTATTTGAAGGCAGTTTTAGTGGCATAAAAAGGGTTTATTTTAAGTGAACATTTTTCCATCACAACAGTGAGATGGCAAGTCAGCCAGTGAATGAATTTATCCTTTACTGCTCAAGCCCAGGACAATTTAAGATTTTATCCTTCAGAACTGCAAGGGAAAAAAAAAAGCCAGGTTAATTTACTAGCAGATAATGTGCACCTGATATAATTTAGGTCTTAAGAGTTACATTTCTTAGCTCAAAGATGCAATTCTTAAAGAATTAATTAGCAATTATCTCTATATCTCAATTTTTCAAAATGCAGGGATTAGGAGAAATCCTACTGAATTCTAATGGATTGACTCTTTCCAACCATGAGTTGTTTAATTGCAGAAGAGCACAATCAAAAATGTACTTTATATGGGACACAGGTACTGGAATCCAATTTATCTTGTGATAAAAAATCTAGTCAAGTAATAAAACTCCCTCTCAGGACTTCAGCTCCTCAACCTAGATGAGCAAAGCCACTCAACATCACAGTTGACAATTAATCCATTTTACCTACTTACTCTGCAGTGTCTTGCCAAAGGTACCCAGAATTAGAAAATCTGCCAGACTTGCTCTCTTGCTGTATTTATTAAATGTTTTGAATGGTTTCAAACATGAAAATGTATCTTGCTGTAATTCTCCCATTGAGATACCAATGTCAGGCATGTTTCAGTGGAGTGATGCAGCTTCTGACCCCTCCAAGCAAAATCCCAAGGAATGGGCAGCCCTGCCAGCCCAGCAAGCATGACAGGACTATCTAAGGGCTATGGAAAAAAGGTTACATTCCAGATGTTGTTTTATTGTTTATTTATTGTGTTTGCTGTTTTATAGTGGAGCTTTTGGTGGTTTCAATCAAGCATCCCATCAGCCTGCAAGATACACAGGAGTGCAAAATTGCATCTGCAAATACCAGATAAAAATATTCTTACCATTATGGTCTATAACTCATAGTGATGCATAAAATATACTAAACTAAAACCATTTTATCACCCTAATAGTATTTAGCCCCATAGGAAACCGTATTTGTTGTACCTCCTGAAATAAGTCACAACAGACTGAACAAAGAGAGATCCTTATGAGATTAAATTCCTTTTGAACTGTCTTTAATTTGGTGATATAAAATTAACTAATGGAACAATATGTGTTCATTTCATGTTCTGGAAATAGTTAAGTGTGTTATAGCTAATTTATCCTTTTTAAAAGATAGGCTTTGATGTAGAAGATGTTTATTCTTAATTACGTGTCATAATGAAAATTAGATCCGTTATTAATTGAATTGCTCTATAATAATTTAAGGAATTACTTCACATGAATTCTTTAACATGGCAGAAGTTGAAAGCCTTTAAATTTCTCACAAATTTGAAATCTACTACACTCTGCCTTTACTACTAGCACTTGACCCTGGTACAAGGAATAACTTTGCCATTTTTAGGGACTTTTTTTGAAGTCAGAACCTCAGTTAAGTAGAGATGTGTTTTGCTAAATAAGAGCTTTTATAGGTCTTACAACATCACCCAGGCTATTTTTAAATGAGTGTTTTGTAGTGATGTAAACTCTGATTCCAAATGAAGCCATGAGTACTTTTATTCAGTGCACCACAGCCACTACTTCAGCTCAGGTTCCTGCTTCTCCTGGGAGAAGGAGGTAAGTGCCATGAACTGTCTGTCTCTCTTACCCTGATCCTCCTGAAGAAAAAACCCCTAGAGTGTCAGATGGCAAATTCACTTTCTTGTTAATTAGGGTTTCTTTTGCATTTCTGAAAACTAAATACAACAACATCATAAGATTTAGCCCATACTTAGTCCCCAAAAATGATTGGGAATTTTACCACGACATCAAAGCATAATGGCAAAGCTGGTAAACTGCAATAAACCTGTTGTCTTTCTGAGAGCTGTAAACTGACCCAGGAAATGAACCATGGAGGCAAAGTTTTCACATTCTGTAGTCGTCCCTGCCTTTCCCTCATCTGTTTTTGGAAAGTTGAGTTGGTTTAAGGCAAAGAATGAATTGCAAGTATTGCTCCTGAATGACTGCAGATGGAGAACTCTGTCTGACAGGAGGCATCTTTCCAATTAACCACTCTTGAAAACTGCTGAGACAGTAGAACTGGCACCTGTCTGCAGGGGGACTCAGGTTTTGTGGTGTAGCTGGATTGGGATTGCTTTGTCAGAGGCACCTCTGCAATGCCAGGACAGGGCTGTGTGACTTGAGGAGGCTCCCTGCTCAAGTCACACAGCCATCCAGTGCAGCCTCACTGCTGAAGGCCCCAGATCATACTCTGCCTTTCTGACTATGGCTGAGATTTCCTGCTGCTATTGCTCCTTTGTTAAACAGCCTTGCTGCTCTGATGGACAATCTGCCAAGAAGATTCACACATTTCAGTAAGGTCCAAGAAGGCACAGACTCTACCTCCACAGTCTGCTGGTTTTAGATGTACAAGAGAGCAAAACCTTGTTCTGCCACTCTGGTCTTCAAATATGAGCACTGACAGAGAAGGAAAGGCTCTCCTAGACACATGGTGTCATATGTACATCCTGACTTTTCAACCAGAGCCACTATTTAGCTATATTCTCCCAGCATTGTTTCTTCACTCACATCCTTGGTATTAATACCTCTCACAGGTGAGGACAACCACTCTTACTCTGGGGTAAGCCAACTCGGCAGATACTGTAGGCAGGCTCAGTTGGAGTTTTTCATATTTCCTTTTATCCTGTGGTAAGTAGGAAATGGGCAAGGTGTCATTCACCAGAAGAAGGGCAAACTGAGCAGGTGAGGGATCAGGCAAGGCATCACTGTGGATCACTGTGCAGGTTCCAGCAGTTCCACGCCTAAGCATCCATGCCAAAGCTTGGCACTACTGCATATCTGATGGGACCTGCTGTAAAATCCATTTTGTAAGGAAATGTAAATGTGGTCAGGAGCAGAGGCCTCACAATTAGCATATGCCCTGAGTGCCAAATTATATGTAACATATGTAATTTAATCTTTATCATTGCTAAGACAATAGCCATCTCCCAGTTCAGACTAAAGTGAATATTAAATGAGACTGCAACACTCTGCAGGATGGCATGAACAGAGGTTTTTCATCATCCCAATGTTGCAAATGCTTTACTGTCTGTATTGTATTTCTTCATATATCTTGATGCAACAACTCTACTTCTCCAGGCTCAGTCAGATATAATTTAATGGCCTGCACTCACACCAGTGAAACCCCAAAAACTGAGGAACAGGCAGCAAAGATAGGTCTGGTAGACTCAATTTCTTGTGAGTTTATCAGCCACAGTAAAGCACTTCATTTTCTTGGCTCTTCCTGTATTTTCGTGACTACAAGCTGAGAAATAGCTTGTTGTTTCAGTGTCTTCAAAACGTTTCAGCGTCTTCAAAAGCAGAGAGACAAATTGACATCAAAGAAAATCAACATTTGTGTATTACATAAACTAACACTTTTGTCACAATCTCCTATGAACTGTTTCTTTACAGGTAGAAGGTATCCTAGAAAGCTCTTATTGTAAACATCTTCTAACAGATGAGATCTTAATTTGCCTTTAGCACAGCTACAACAGAGAGGTCCCTTGTCTGGCCAAACTACAATATGCTGTAGCAGGGCAGGAAGAGCAGGAGGAAGACTGTGCAGGTTCCCAGGTGATATGGTGATGCCACTTCTAAGACTCACTCATCCCTAAAGATGTGTTGCTCCTCCCTAAGTTCTGCTATCACAGTGAGTGGTCCCAAAAGCTGGCAGCAAGTCTTCACTAGATTGATATATGTATGAAGGCCAGGGAGCTCTTGGTTTAATTCTTTCATCTTCCCACACTTGTTTTCTACATTTATTTCCTTCCTAGGTTGCCAATATTTCCCTTCCAGCAAACATGTAACGCTAAATATTTAATGCCAATAAAAATATGTTTGCATGCTCATACTAAAGGGCTGAATGAATTTTATGTACCAGGAGCACTTGAGCCTTGAAAGGCAATATGTTCTAGACTGGAAAAGTGTAGCAGTTTAACATCATGCAACTAAATAAGACAGTAGCTCTAGACAGGAAAAAAGATGTGAACAACATTTTATTCCATTGAAAATGTAGGTAGGAAAGGCAAAGAGTGACTTTTAGCTTGCAGTTTAACAAGAATATGATCTTTAATACTTCTTCTCGGATGCATGCCTTTGGCAAATAAAGACCACAAGTAAGTTGGACGCTTCCTTTTTCCATTACAGATGGACCTTCCAGGAGCAGACGAAGGTCCATCTTCCCTTTCCACTCTGCCTGGGAAACACGATCAATTGCCAACTGACTCAATAAAATAGAGCACAGAAGGAAAAGAAAAACTATTTCCTGCCACAAGCAAAGTTTTCCTTTTAATTTATTATCTAATTTCATTTTTTATTATGATTTAATATGATTTAAATTTATGTCTTTGAAAATCTAAGAAGACAAGTGCCCAGATGGCTTGGTTGCAGGTTAAAATCAAGTTATATTTTGTTTGGGGGTTTGTGTGGGGCTGTGAAAAGGAAACCCTCTGAGCCATAAGGATACTTAGATTAATTCAGATAGGCTCCAACGATTCTCTAATTTACATTTCCCATGGATCTACAGATTATAGAGTCATTTGTATCAACGTAAATCAAAAACATTGTGACCTGGGATCCAACCCAGAACCCATGAGTTAAATCTGGTTTTTAAAAGGAAAAGAAAAATGAGCAAGGAGAAAGAATAAAATACTTACAAGCAGGAAGAAGATATGGAAAAAAATGTCCAGTGCAGAGGATGTGGTTGGTGTTCACACCCAAATCTAAAGGGACTGCATGCTGAGAAAAGCCCCTATAAAAAGGCAAATAAAAGTGGAAGAGTTTAGTAATAACTCCAACAATAATAATAAAATAAAGGAAGGACAAGTGCTGAATTTTGACTGCTCTTACTGGCAGAAATTTCAGGGGAAAAAAGCCCAATCAACTGGAACCCTGGCTTGCGTTTTATTCCTGCTAACAACATCCTTCTGTAGCCCTGTTACAGCACGGCATGTACAGCATCAAAACCAGGATCCAGAACTCTGTTTTACAGACAGGCTTTGATAACACCTTACTCTTGTTTTGCAGTGTGCTGAAGGACCAAGACAGACATTTGTCCTCTGGCACATTTTTAAGTACTAGAGCACTGTATCTGCTCTCCAATTCATTTCACATTATACCCTGAAGACTCCTGCCAGGAATCAGGTCTTTTGGATTACACACTATTATTTATTCATCCTCTTTATTTCTGACTATCTGCAGTTTAAGTTTTCACATACTTGAAATATCCAAACTGAATATGTTATGTGCACATTAATAGCTAGAAGAATTTTGTGTGCTACATGCATTCAAAACCTAAAATTAAAACATAGCCCCTGAATTGTTTTTAATAAAGTAAATTAAATTTCTTATGTATGAAGAAATGATACAGATTAAAGCAAAAGAGGGCCACTCTCAAACAGATTTTCCCCTCTGGGAGACAAAAGACACTTTCACAATCATTGTACATCTTAGAGCTCTGCCCCTTCAGCACATTTGGTTTGACTGTGTTAGAGAAGCAGATCTCTGGGGATGGATGCTGATGCATTGTTGTGCTGCTTTCATCCCTTCAGTCACTGAATCACTTCTGCTTTAAGCCTCTCCAAGTTCAATAAAGAAAATTGTCTAGTGCAGCTGTTAAAAGACAGTATTGTTGAAATCCAAATGTTTTGATAACACTGACTATACTAATGTTCCACCAAAGGGAGTCAGACAGCTTCCTGACCATCTCTTTGTGAAGGAGAGGTAGGAGGCTGTAGGTGAACCCCAAAGTCAGCTGCCCCAGAAATGGACCCGGGATATGCACTGCATGTGAGGGTGTGCACCCTTGCCACCTTGCCCAGAACTGCTTCTGAGGCTGAGGCAGGTCTGGTACAGGATGGAGAGGCGATACAGCAGCCCCTGTAGGCATTTTCTCTGGCAAATATGCCTCACATGGCCAAGAGCTCTACCCTATACCCCTCAGTTTTGTCTGCTTGTAGCAGAGATCCTTTTCCTCCCCTCTCTTTCTTTCCTCGGGGAAAGAGGCATAGATCTCTGCAACAGGGCTGTATCTTCAATCAAAGCAAATACAAAGTATTTTGCTCTTTTTTCTTGGGTGAATCTTTGTTAGTCTGTCTCCCCCCAGATACACAGAGCACTGCTTTAGCCCACTTAGCCCCTCATCCAATACAACAGTGCCACAATCTCCAGCAAGGCAAGGGGACCAGAGCCTACCAAATCTTGGGCTGATTAAACACGAAGTGAAAAATACAAGGCTTCCTCAAGGCTTCCTAAGTGCAGGCATTCATATTCAAATGGCAGGTGTACACAGTGAGGTGGGGAGGGCGCAACTTTTAATTATCTTTGAAGAACAGAGAAATACTTGGACCAGAACATCAATATGCTTATCTTCAGAAGACCTCTTGCCATACACAGTTTTATCCCACAGTCCTTCATCCTCTTGCACCACTCTAATGTCTCTCACAGCTATTTTTACTATTTCAGCTGTAGTAGTAGCCTATAGAAGGATTTGGCCCAAACAGTGTATTCATACACTGTGCTAGTAAGACATGCAAGTAGTAGGGATCTATTTGTTCCCTGTATCTCTCAGGATGTGGAGAGGGGTAAGGAGTCTCACTGCTGTGCCTCTGAGACCTTAGATAGAGAAAGGGGGCCTTACTAGTCTAGCCTCCTACGAGACCATCAGTCTGAATCTCACCCAAAGGATACAGTCACCAAGGAAATCAATCTCCTTCCTGTGCTGGTTGGTTAAAAATATTTATTTGTCTTTTGAAAATTTCCTGTGGAAAAATAGAGGTTGCTGAAAAAAACCCACCCAAAACTCAACAGCCTACTCTTTGCTGACCCTAGGGATGGGTCATATTTGATTTCTTGGTGTCCAGTGCCAAATCTATTCCCCTTATTGCCACTCTGAATAACTTTTGTTGCCACTCTCAGCCAAATTCAACCCAGGCAGAAACCTCAAAACAGATTTGAGCTCCTGAAGTTTAATGACAGTGGGTGATCAGGCAGAGAAGACATGAAGGTTCACACAGCCATTTGGTTGCTCATAACAGCTTTAAATCTTGGTAATTGACTTCCACAGTCAAAAACAGCCACTAAGGTGTCACTGTCAAAGTGGCAGATCCCAGGTGCCAGGCTGGAAAAGAAGTCCAGTGCAAAGTTAGCCAGGGAAGAGGAGAAACCAGCAGGTGTCAGGAATCCTTAACTTCTGCATTTTGTCTAACAATTTCTTGTTTGATTTCTTGCAACATCTGATTTGGAAGTTTTTTTGGAAGAAAATTTAGTGTAGTGTGGAATGGCTGCTTAATGAGAAATGAAAATTCCATTAAAACCCATTTTCCTCAGTGGAACAAGTATATGAAACTATTTCAACTGCTTCTGCCTTGTTGCCTTCTTTAGTGGTTGAGCCTCCCATTCCTGCTACCCCTTCGTTCTGAAGGCTGTGTGGAGCATCCCACCAACTGAGAAGCCTCTCAGGAGATTCTATCCAGCATACATCTGTGTGGCATAGCAGTGATGTAATTAATCTCAGAACAAACAAAAGTTAATTAAGCTTTGCCACTTCACGCGTGACTCTCCACATGGGCTCCCAATAACCACCTCTTTTATTTGACACAGGCAGAGCAGCACTGGACTCCACAAATGAGGCCAAGTGGCCATGCAGTGGAGGGCTGGGCACTGTCTTTGCTTGTCCTGAAGCCACCACACTTCTCATGGGGCAGTGCTTCAGCTCCTGCACATTGCTTATTCATACCAAAACCAGATATATCATACCAAATATATCAGCTCCTGCACATTGTTTATTCAGACCAAAACCAGATATATCATACCAAATATATCATACCCAATAAAATACCAAGCTCCAGGGCAAGCAGTCCTTGTTATCAGAGCTTGCTTTCATTTTCCATTACACTCATGTGTGAAACTAAAAACTTGCAGTGCTTAGACCCTCAGGTCCATCTCCAGGTAGAGGGGGAAAACCCCTCGAAAGTATCATAGCCATCCCCTTAATCTACAAGGAATGCAGTTTTAAGACAAAGTGTGGCTAGATCTGGAACTGAATGGACTTAAGCTCTCTTTGTCTCTGCCAGTGCTGCAGCACATCCTCCTGCCCGATGCCGATGCCGTGGCTGCATGCACGAGTGTACCTGAGAGCCCTCATCTCCCACTCTCCATGTGGGCACATCCACTCCCGTCTCAGAGGAATTCTGGGCAGACTACAGCAAGGAGCTTTGCTGAACAGTAAAAGCAAAGTGAACTTTGCTAGTCAAGGGGGTTATTGGTCCTTAACTAGCAAAGATGTGACACAGGAAGTAGAGTCCAGAACAACAAGAAAACACCTTTCTATTGCAAAATCTAGCTGATACATTGATTTCAATGTATTTTATAAAAAACAACAGGTATAAATCACACATTTCATAAATCACAAATTTTATAAATCCATATAACACCCAAAAATGTCAAGCAGATTTCATTTTAACCTTCTTAGGAACTTTGTCACAATATAAAGCTAGGACACGATTTTTTACACTTGGTTCAACAGAAATTTCTTTTAATGCATAATTTTCAGGTTTTTTTTCCTCTCAAAAAAAGTGCAGATTCAGTATCAACTACACTTAAATGTCTGTACATTTAAATGTCAAGGGAGTTTTAGGCACAGATGTGCTATCACAGTAACTCCATTCACTGTAACTCTGCTTCCTGACTTGGGTACCTTGTGCTTTACTAGGGAAAGTAGGAAAACACCCTTCTCCTTTGATTCTCTGTTTCCCCTCACTGCTGTAGCAGAAGATCCCTATCCTCACCATTCCTTATTTTACTGACACAGGCTGCATGCATGCCCTCCCCTGATGAAGAAACCATGGCATATTTGTGTGCCTAATATTCACATATAGTCCCTGTTTGCAAAACAGCCTGCAACGACTCAGGCAAAGAGTCAACACGATTGCAAAGGGAGCTGCAGCGAGCCACGCTGTGCTGTGCAAGCATAAGGGGGCAGGGTTGCGCCTGAAATGCCAAAAAAGAGCAAGTTAGGATAATGTAGGCTATGGAAGGAGAGTTTCTGCTGGTGCTAGACAGAGTGATCTGTTCAACAACTGCCTCTCAGACGGCCTAGCTTTAGAGGACACTGTCATGCTCCAGTCCAGAGCAAGTGTAATTCCAGTGGCAGGGATGATGACAGACCGGGTGAAGGCTTGTCTTAGCATCTCACCAGACGGCTGCTGAAGGCATCAAACCAAAGCAAATGTGCTGGGATATTTCAAGGAAATTAAAGGAATGATGGACAAAGTGCCTATATGAAGTTACAAGTAAGCACAAGGAGGACCTGGGAGAAATGCAGAGATGATGGCTTGAGGGAGAAAGATGCTGAGAGCACAGGCTGATCAAAGCCCAGGGCTACATCCTGGGAAAACAGGAGACTTCGTACCTCATGTACAGGGCAACTGTCAAGAACACTTGAAGCCTCAGACTTTCATGTGAGATGCAGGGAGAAAGAGGGAGCAGCAGAAGGGCTGCCAAAGAGGGGAGATGCAGGCTAAGAGGTGGGTTTTGCAGCAGCGCCATGGATCGACTCTGTCGTAACAGGATTTCCTCTGTGCAAGCCAGGAAAAGGAGGCAACCGCAGTCATGAAGACATCGAGGGAGGACTGCTTGCAAAAGAGTGCAGGAGGTAGAGGTGAAAATATACTGACTTTTTAGTATTTAGATTCCAAGTCTCAGACCTATCAGAAACACCAGATTTTCCAGCAACTTCTGACTGTAGTCTTGTTGTTGAGATAATTCCTCTTCTGCTTCTGTGTAGATGGGGTGCAAGAAGGATAGGCTCCGTTGCTTCCTGCCTCTGATAGGGAACTTACACAATACAATTTACAATTTGCACTGCACCAGTAAGACCCGATTATGAGCAAGGACACTTGGCAAAGGTGAGTTATCCCAGTTCAGCCTTTTACATCTGAAAAGGTTAGCAAAATGCCCACAAGAATAATTCCCTATGCCAAATAAATTCACATACATACACACACGGTGATAGTACTAAATTAAACGTGGATGCTGAAATAGCCCAAGACCCCTTCCCCTGCAGTTCCAGGTGCTGCAACATATATTCTGTTGACAGCAAAACACATGTTCTGGATGTAGAAAGCAGCAGCCTGCAGGCAGGCCAGCATGTGTAGCAGAGCACAGGAAAGCTGGGGAACATGAGGGAGGCAGGGGGGACATGCCTGCCTTTTCTTTCCCCACCTGGGGTGACAGGGGTGACCCAGTCTGAGGAAGAGGTGGGAAAGGAAGGCAGCCAGCACACAGCTACAACCAGCAACCATCCCTAAGGGGAACAAGCCCTTCTAGGCATAATAGCAGAGAGAAGGCAGCTGGTGGTTTCAGGTTGCCTTTTGTTTCAGTCTGTTCAGGCACAGGAAAGTTAGAGTGGGTTCAAAATGACTGTAAAAAGCAAAAGCACAAGGAAACAGACATGACATGCCAGCTGGATCCCTTATCATAATAAAACTGCCAGCACTATATGCATCTTATATGGTCCAGATTTTATACATTTTTCCTATTCATCTTGCTCCCATTCTGCTACAATTAGCTGAGCATTAATTAAATAATAGCTAGTATGCATTCCTAATTGTCTTTGCTTATATAAATGTTAATCATCATGGCAAATTCTCAGCCCTTTAGCACTATTTTCACAATTTGCCTTTAACTGTTTAGTATTTGCAAGGCTAGGAAGAGTTTGCGTCACTTGATTTCTGTTCCAAACTTTATTGCATCTAGCAAGATGATGTTGAAACAGCCTGCAGCTTTCAGGCAAACATAAAATGCTTGCAAAGGGCATATTTTTGTGCATCCATCCTGCGTTTTTTTCCATGCTGTGCTGTCTAAGCTCAGCTCTTCTCCCACTACATTGGATAAGCGTGTTACAATTTATTTGCAGAGGGAGCAATGCTTTCCCCGTCATCTTTCTGCAAGCATTGTGAAAGAGCACACGGGTGGCAGCCCGTGCTTATGCCCGCTGAGCCAAGAATTCGCTTGCACAGTGATGACCCAATGGTCTGCGCTATCACACCCCTGGGCTGCAGCATCTTTCAGCAAAAGAAACCAGCCCGTGTCTCCCTTCTCTCCGCATCCCTCCTTCCAGAAGCTGTGCAGCCCCGCACTGTCACCACGCTCTCTCAGAGCGTTCCCCCTTTTTGCCTCCGCCGAAAGCAATTTCTCCAAACCCAAGAAGCGTTCGTTCAATTCAAGCACTCGCCAACCCGTGAAGTGAGTTAGGCTAAATACAGGTTCTTTCCAAAACACGTTTGTGAACGATCAAGCGCAGGCCACAAAACACATACCTCGGTTAAACGCTTGTGAAAATCAAATGCCCTTGGTTACAGCACAGGACAGGCAAGCCGCTAGAGATGCTCCCTCGGAGCAGCAGCACGGGCGAGGCGCGGCGGGAGCTGTTCCAGGGCGCACAGCAGCCTCCCAAACCCGCCAGGGACCCGCCGGGACCCGCCTCAGCCGGCGCGGCACCCGCGGCGCCGGACAGCGGCAGCGAGCGGCCCCGGCGCTGCGGGAACGTGCGAGCCACAGCGCCGGGCAGCCGGGCAGCCGTGCTCGCCGAGGCTCCGCGGGCACCGAGAGCGCGAACAACGCGCACCGGTGAGGGCAGGGGCAGGAGTGTCGACCTCCCTCGAAAAGCAGACGGCTGACGCCGCCGGGATGCTCCGGCCCGGGATGCTCCGGCTCGGGATGCTCCGGCTCGGGATGCTCCGGCTCGGGCGCAAGCGGCAGCGCGGCCCCTTCCCGCCCGCAGCCGCCCCGCTGGGGCAGCCCCGCTCCCCGTTCCTCGCTCCCCGCTCCCCTGCGCGGCTCCAGCCCCTGCCCCGGCTCCCGCTGCCGTCCCGCGCGGCACCGGAGGCAGCGCCGCCCCCGGCCCGCCCCTCGCCCGTCCCCGCCGCCCCCGGCCCGCCCCAGCGCCCGGACGGGGCGGGCCGTGCTGGGAGCGGGGCTGGGGCTGTGCTGGGAGCGGGGCTGGGGCCGTGCTGGGAGCGGGGCTGGGGCTGTGCGGGAGCCCCGGCGAGGCGCTGCGCTCCGCTGGAAGTGGGGCGAGCCCCGCACCTCACCGGCGTTAGGGGATGGAAGACACTGGGCATCGTACAAACCCGCATCGACACCCGGCTCTTACCGTGCCGCGGCTGTCCACAGCGTACATCCTTGAAACGGGCCGGGGCTGGTCCCTTAAAAAACAAAAACAAAAACAAAAACAAAAACAAAAACAAAAACAAACAAACAAACAAAAAAACCCCAAAAAAACCAAATCACAAACCCAAAACCCCCCATGTTAAGTCCGTATTCCACCGTGCAGAGCTGCCCGTGGGAAATGCGAGATCCTTCGGAGCAGAGCGTCTGCAGAGGGGGTCAGATCGTGGCGCCATAAAGGGAACTGGACCTAGCAAAGGAGTGGGTTAGAAAAGAGGTTACCTGGAAAGTGAAAACTTGCAGATGGCTTTTGAAAATTCTGCCAGGTTTTCGGCTGGCTGCTGAGACCTTCAGGGATACTTTGACATCATGTACACTGGAGTGAATTAATGGTTGTGCTAAGATCAACTGAGATAATAAGGTAGTGTAAATGAGAACAAAACCTGGCTTCCCTAGTTCATTTGGAGAACGACTTACCTACAGATATCACATGCTCTGGAATGAAATTTTGAGAAAATGTTGGCTGGATCAGACGCATTTCCTTCCATGGACACTGATGAAGGAAAGGTTCATCTGGCTTCTGGTACGCTTGTCTCATCCACGCTTTTTTTGGCCAAATGACTTTACTGTGGGTTAGACATCAATGATGAGCACTGTGAAGAGCAGATGCACACTGTGCAGCTCAGTCTTGTGTCTGGCTAATGTCCATGTGCAGTTCTGAAAGGATGTTGGAAAAGGATGTTCTTCATTTTAAATTGCTCTTAGGGAGATGTGCAGTCCATAATGTGCTGCCGAGGCACTTCTGTGAGAGGTGATTTCTTTGATACAGTCTACACAGTTTCAGTAGAAGAGTAACTTGGAATGTCATGAAACAGTCTTGGAGGAACAAGACATATGAATAGATAGGAAAAAGACAAAACTTAAAGGAAAAATAATTCCCAAGAATGAGCCTTATTTCTCCTTGATAATAACCAGTGAATGCAGTGGCATATAAGAGACAGGTTTGACTTTCCAATGGAAAAAATGCTCCATATTTCACCTATGAAAAAGGAAATCATTGTTTTTGTGGGTTTTTGTGGGGTGTTTTTTTTTTTTGTTTAGTTTTGACTTTTCAGAGTGGAAAGCCACATGCATGGCATATGAACAAAAAAAGAATACAGTATCAGTTGGTGCCATGATATTCCTAACCTGGAAGCAGACCACTGGCTCACTTCAACTTGCAGCCACTGCAGAAAAGGGCACATCTGACAGTGAACTTGCTGATTGCATTAACTTCTGTAGGACCAGGAAACAAAGCCTGTTGAAACTGTGGGGAAAGAAATGTTGTAGACACCTGCTACAGTACTGGCAGTGGTTAGATTAGAGGTGGATAATCCTGCTGGAACCATTTCAAACAATGCAGAGAATTTGCTATATCCTTTTTTATTTGTATACTCAGACTAGAGGTAGAGACTTTCTGGTACAAGCCCTGTGTCTGGGATGTCACTGGGTATAAACAGAGACAGATGGTGCATTGGAGCTCTCAACATTGATTTTGCATATAGATAAGTTCCCAGGTACAAAATTCTAAGGAGATAAGAGAACCAAAAGCAGTAAAGCAAAATGTTTGAATCTTGAAAATGAGAAAGCAGTCAATGGAAGGGTTTCTGTTATAGCTCAATTATTCCAGCAGTGGAATTGCAACCTGGGACAGGCAGAAAGAATTTTCCCAAGGTCAAGCAGGAAGATGAATAGAAGGAAAGGCAAATGCAACAGAGCTGAAGTGGCTGCTAAGACAGACATGCTGTTGCTAGGACTGGCCAGAAAAAAAAAGCAGTGCTTTCTAAAGGAAACAAACTATGATTGCTTGGGCTTGTGTTACTTTTGTGGATTTTTGCTCAAAGCTGAATCCACTGAAGAATGAGAAAATTCTCAAGTTCTCCCTGCTGATGAATGTGCTTACCCCAGAGCATCAGGCATAGTTACTAGTAATCCTTGGCTTTGGAAGAAACTGAGAAGTCAGATCCAGATCTATCCACTGTGTCTCACAATCTCAACATACACAATGTAGGCTAGGTCATATCATCCTAGCTTGTTCAGGTACAAAAAATACGAGTACTTAGGCCACAAGTGAGAATTGCTTTTTGCAGCTGTGCTCTGATTTTTCATTCTTTTCCTGGATAAAGCACCTCTCAAGGAGAGGTGAACAGCACTGCTAGAAGAGGTTATGATTTGTTCAGCAGAGGAGAGAGAACAGGGCAGAAAGAGGAACAGGGCAGAAAGGCTTTTGTGCTTTTTGGAGGTCACTGCTGTTTCTGTAAGTTTTTTAGCCTGGGCTACGTCATTGATGTCCTGCCACTTTTTGTGGCCTGATCATTTGCTGTGAGCTGCTCAGTGACTTTGGGTAAAGCTGCACCAGAGGAGTTGTCAGCAAGATCAGGCCGCTCTCACCAAGGCTGGTGGCTGCGTCAGGACCTCATGCAGAGGCTGTGGCAGCAGGAAGCACCACGGCTCCAAAGTAATTAAGTTGCTCTTTTATTGCCCTTCCTCCTTCATGCTCTCTATGCAAACAACACAGTGTGAGTTGGCCCTTCCTCAGGACAGTGTCTTTCATGCAAAATGTGTTTCAAAATGTTTTGCAATTATAAAATATACCAAGAGTATTAAACAGAGAAATGGGAAGACAGATATTTTCAGAGAAGGTTTAAAAGAAAGATGACAGTAAAGAAGAAAAAAATGCATGGATTCTTGAGATGGTGAGAATAAAAAAAAAAAAAAAAAAAGTAACAAATAGAGCCTTTTTTGTTTGTTTGTTTGGTTGGGTTTTTTTTGATTTTTTTTTTTTTTAATGCAGTTGCAGTCAGATAAGCACTGATTTTTCCTTGGAGTCAGAGCAACAGGCTGAGGGTCTGGAAGTGTCTGGTTGCCTCTGAGGTTCTGGCAAGAGCACATCAAGGAGATGTAGCTTGGCTGATGCTTAGTGTGATTATGCCTCCAGAGCTCAGTGTCATTCCTGCTGTTAGGCTGTCTATGAGACAGCATGGCTGTAGTGGATAGCTTTTAATAGCTTTTCTTAGAATACAGAAAAATATGGAAAACTAAATGTTATTATTGCTATTATGACTGATTTGATGGTTCTTGATATGATTTCCTGTACCTTCTCAGAGTCATTAGGTGGTGGAATCAGCAAACAGTGATTGTAAAAACTTCCAGAGGGAGTTCTTACTCATCCAAGTTTGAGTACAGGAATTAGGTGTACATTACCTTGTCTAATGGACTTAAAGCCATTTCTCTTTCTCGTTTTGACTATCTAAGGAACTTAGGAACTTCCTCAAAAGGTCTGCTTCATTGCACTCACAAGATACAGGAACATAGCAGTTTAATGAACTAAATCCCACCCAAGAAAATCAGATCCTCATCTGTTCAGCTGACCTCTCCACTTTAAACACTTACATATAGAGAATGCAGTTCTACTGAGGTTAAAAATAAAACCTTCTGCTGTTTGCACAACCAGTGAATACTGTCTCTTCCCTCATTCTTTACCAAGATCTCAGGAGAAGGCAGTGAATAGTAAATCCTTCCTGAACCTGACTATGTCCTCTTAGTGCCTGGATTTGTACTCAGCTTGTAGCACTGCCTTGAGCACCCATTTTGTCTTGTACTTCTTTGTGAACATGGTGGCTGAAAGTTAATGAGTTTTGAGGGTAACCTTTTCCAATACTGAAAAGGCTTTGGCACTATAATTTGCATAAACATTACTATTTAATAATCACAGAAAATAGGAAACATCTTTGAAGACTGATTGAGAAAATATTTAATTTCTAATTCCTACATCACATAAAGGCTACTTGTTAATGCAAGGACCAGCTAAATGAATTCTAAAGCTCAATTAACTCCATCATTAGATGATTTTAAAATACTGTTAGACCACTATTAGACTTAGAATTCTCCAGATGCCTCTGGTCTTTTTAATTACCTGGAGTCATTATAAGGAGCAGTCACTGAAGTTCATTCATTCTCTCCATGCTTCCTACTAATCAACTTACAAACTTTGCCATTGAGCAATCTCAGGAGAGGCTATCTTTAATGAGACCCCCTATGGAATAATGGGCTATTCATTTCCCTAAATGTCACTTGGATCATATTAATACATTCATATTCTAATAAGAGGACAAGTGCCTCATACACTGCTTATCTGTGATATAAAACCTTGGCATGGATCAACTCTGCCTGTTAGTAGTCAGCATTTTTCATTGAATCTTTTTCATTTTTATAAGCTGGCTCTTTGTTTAGGACATGTCTGCAGTG